GTATGCGAAAAAAATGGGAAGTGGTCAAAAGGGCCCTGGAAGTCATTTCATTTTTTTCCGAGTTAGAAAAAAATCTAGGCTCCAGGGGGGGGGGTGTCCTAGGACCCCCAGGACTCCCCTTGGATGCGCCACTAGTGAGAGCCTGCGTTGGTCTCACCCCCATACAACCACCGCCCACCAGTCACCACGGCCAACAGAACCTCCAGCTCCTTTCCCACCCGTTCTCGGGAAACTGGGAATACGGCTGGCCACAAACGGGTTTCATATATTTCGACTAACCAGTTAAAAGCATGACCCCAAGCCAGAAAATGTTAACTCCGATTACGGAGTCGAAGTCCGAACGATTTCGGTGACTCCACCTCGAGCTGTCAACACCAACCAACTCCGGCTACGACCCTGCAGTCCCTTCAGTTACAGTCCCAATGTCTTCCTTGTTTCCCAGGCGCCCACAGTAGCTTCATAGGCGCCCCTCTTTGGCATATAAGCGCCCTATAGTCATCAGAGACATCCCTATATGTCAGGGGTCGGCAACCTACGGCCCGCTGGCCGGATCTTGCCCGCGACCATCTGACGTCCTGCCCGCGGCTGGTATTAGCAACTAACATTGTGCTCCGGCCCGCGGTTCCTTTAGAATTTGCTCCATACAAAAGTGACTTCATTGTTCGTTGGCACAATAGTTCTTCCTACACTTTCTGATATCTATAGATATAGGTATCTGATCAGATAATAAAATGGACAAAACATTCCTTCTACTTTCAAACTCGTCTTTCCTCTGCCAGAGTCTGTCTTACAAAGGTACGATTCATAATATGATACAGGGCAAAACATGTGAGCTCTCACAACTAAACATCCATTAATAATACTGTCATATTTCCCAAATATTGCGTATGATTTCCAATTGTAACCATACTATGCTCCGGCCCGTCGGCTGCTTCCAAATCTCATATCCGGCCCGCACCCGAAAAAAGGTTGGCGACCCCTGCCCTAAAAGAAGACCAGCGGCTTTGCCCTTAACTGTGTCAAACTGAATCGGACTTCAGATGTGTATTGTAAAAAAGTCCGGCTTGTACGACCTTTACACAGATAGTGCATACTGCGTTGGGCTAAAAATGCGTCAACAGTACCTGCTTTTGGGTTTTAAGTCTGCCGATACGTCCCCCAGTCAAAAATTCGTGGCGACGCCCCTGGCAGGCGCCCTTCTCTTGCATACAGGCAGGCCTAACTTTCGCATGTAGTTAGGCGCACTTATCACCTAAGCGCCGGCGTTGGACTCTTATAGAGGGCGGCATGAGACCTATCAGAGCTAAGCGATAGAGCTTGCCAGGCGCCTTCAGAAGCCCCGTCAGATGCACCTATAGAGCCTTGAGATGCACAGGTGTGCGGCCCCCAGAGGCGCCGGTGTGGGACCCCCAGAGCCTTAACCCTGGCCGGCCGAGGGGGGGGGGGGGGGACGGGTGCCGCCCCACCCCCATAGGTTTTTTTTCGCGATAGCTCCGAACACGCTGGCGATAGAGAGCTGAAACTTGGCATACCTGACCTTTGATTCAAGCCGGACCTTTTGACACCAACCGCATTTTTGGGTCAGGTCAGGTCACTGACCTATGACGTCGTAAGTGAACCTCTGCACGGTCTTCAGATGTCGCAACTTCGCAACGCCCTCACTGCCAGAGGAGATGTCACAGGGAAATGAAACTTGCAGGATCTAGTATCCATTATGAGTCTCACAGCTTATATATCTCGGATTTTTCCTTAAGGTCATATGAGGTCAGGTCATTTTTGTGACCTCACCATTAGGTATAAGTCAATGGGGAAAATGAAAACTGCTATTCTGGCGCCGGGAACGATCTCCAACCATCTCAAGCACACAGAATCGTGATTTGATGCACTCCTTGCAATGTTAAATGCGTCACTTTTGCAATGTTGACCTTGCGTGACGTCATTTATGACGTCATCAAAGTCATATTAGTTTTTCGTCAATAACTCTTGATCAAATTGAGCTAGCGAGTCGGGAAAGCCACCAATGGACTCAGGAAGACCTGCCGAATCGAATGATATGCGACATGACCTCTTTCGACCAGCTTCGTGACCTGGGAGTGCTGACCTGACCTTGACCTGAGGTCAACATCCCAAGTTGACCTGACCCGGACAAAAAGTATATCATTCGACGCGCCTGAGCGAGGTGAACACGATGCTGCCAAAATCGCGGCTCTGCGGCCGTTTTTGCGAAGTTATTCACCAAAAACTGAACCGTACCTTGGGGCACTTGACCTGACCTCAGAGGTCACCGGTTGACCTGGGACCTTAAAATCGGGTACCAATCTCTGCGTCTCGTAACGGCGCACACGCTCGTTTTTTTCCGCGACGCGCTAGCTCCACCAGGGGCGAAACGACGAGGGGGTCGTACCCGCCCCGCGAGGGGGGGGGGGTCGTACCCGCCCCCCTCGGCCGGCGCGTATGTAGAAAACCAATAGGTCCGGCGAGGGTTAAGAGACACAGGTATGACCCTCAAAGGCGCCGGTGTGTGGCGCTCATAAACACTGGTGTGGGGCCATTACAGGCGGGTGGAGCCGTTAGAGGCCGGAAAGGGCCCTTAGATGCCTACAAGGAGCCTTCAGAAGCCGGCGTGGCACCCTTTTGGAGATAAGCGTGTCTACTTAGGAGCCCTTGAGGTGCTCTCATGAGCTCTGTGGGGCCCTACCGAGCTGAAATATGGCCAGAGTTTTTTTTTTGTCAACGGCCACAGAGCTCTTCGGACTGTTATTCTCAGGGGCCTCCCATGCCTAGTTAGTTTGAATAGAAGGGCCTCTCAGACCATCTGTCTCGGAGGCCTCTTCTGGCCACCATCAGTCTCAGGGGCCTCCTTCGGCAAGTATAGATAGAAGGGCCCATAGGCGGCGGAACGGGGGTGGCACCGGGGCACCGTGCCCCGCTTTGATTTTGGCATTTTGACATTAGCCCTATGGGCGTTGCAAGGGAAGAATGGGACCAAAAGTCGGCAGTGCCCCCCCCCCCCCCCCTTAATTGAAGGTGTTCCGCCGCTAATGGAAGGGCCTCTCAGATCATCAATCCCAGGGGCTTTCACTGGCTAGTATGAATAGACCGCCTCTCAAACCATTAATCTCAAGGGGCTCCTGTGGCTAGTATAAATAAAAGGCTTCTAAGACCATCAGTCTCGGGGGCCTCCCTAGAACAGTGTGGATAGAGGGGCCTCCTCAGATTCACTAGGACCTCTCTGACCATCAGTCTCAGGGCCCTCCTGTGGCTAGTATGAATATAAGAGCCTCTCAGACCATCAGTCTCAGGGGCCTCTTCTGACTACTGAGGATAGGGAGACCTCCTCTGACTAGTGAGGGTAGGGGGCCTCCCAGACTGCCAGTGTCAGGGGCCTATTCTGACTAGTGTGGATGGAGGGGCCTCCCAGACCACCAGGGGGGTCTGGGGGCCTCCTCTGACTCAGGGGCCTCCTCTGACTAGTGTGGATAGAGGGGCCTCCCAGACCCCCAGTGTCAGGGCCTCCCCAGACCAGAGGCCTCTTGCACCAAACTACCTAGCTAGGTAAAATCGAAAAACTGGTTTCAGAATAAGCTAATCTAACAGTGGTAAATTTGCTTGCAATAGCCCAATACATGATCCTACATGTGCTTACTAAATTTTGCACGCAAATTGTTACATTTGAGACTTGGACTGGGCATACGATGCAAAATAATCCAAGCATTGGTGCAAGAGGCCTCAGTGTGGATATTGGGGCCTCATCAGATCCACTAGGGCCTCTCAGGCAATCATTCTCAGGGGCCCCCGCTGACAAGTATGGATAGAGGGCCTCCTTGGATCCACCAGGGTCCCTTGGCGTCCATGCGTGGAGATTCGTGGAACTTATTTTTACGGAGTTTATTTATTCTGGAAGGTGATGACGTCCTCTCAACTCAAGACGAAAGGGCCTCGAGTAAAAAGTGGGGGGGGGGGCAAAACACATGGTTGGCCCCCCACCTCAAAAAGTGGGTGGGCACTTGCCCACCTGCCCCCCCCCCCCCGGTTCCTACGCTTATGAGAGGCTCTGGTGGTGCTGCCCGAGTGCGCCATGCACGCTGGTTTCATAACATCCTTCGGGAGCTACAATACAAGCCCAAGGTGCTGCTCATGGGTCTAAAAATAGCAGTACTAGTCTCCAGCTGGTAGTGGACGCCGTGTACGCTCCAGTGCTGACAACGGGAAAGGTGGCCTGCTATCTTGATGAATTCATTTGATTTGTATAGACTCACCTTCCACACGCGGTCTTCACAGATGTTAGGATAATTTTGTCTTAAACTGTTCTTACTTTCTTTCGGTCTAAAGCCTTTGTCATGTTTTTCTAGCTTTATGAAGGTATCTAAACCTGATTATAGGTATTGTTATTGGCCAGTAGGTGTATCTAAACCTGTGTACTCATAGATAGTTTTCACCTTTCAACAGAATTATAATGCTTTGATACAGTGGTACGATATCAATTTTATCACGAACTGATGTACGTAATTTTGCAGAGGCAGTTGGAACGCAATGCGGCGAAACGAAACTATTGTGTATCTTGATTATATATGTTCAACAATGGCCAGTGGCGGAAATATCACATATTTTCTATCAATAGAGTACATTTTTCGGCACTTTTTTATTCAATATCGAGGAAAGGTCATGCTTATACATTTTCAAATAACTGAGGTTAGGTCAGGTTAATTATTATTTTTCTCTTTAAATTTCTGTCGAAATTCTGCCCCAGAAGTTTTTCAGCCGATTTCAAACACCATGCACCCCCGCCCTTGCTCCATGCAAATATTGATATATACTCTGTTCCGTTTCAAGCTTGCAGCCGAAGTGCCCTGCTGAAAGCAGTGCGTGATTTCTGTATATACGCTCTTACATTATAAGACGCAAATTCTTGAGCGGAGGAGCGATCTGCCGAAGAAACTCCGACTGCAAGCTTGATATGGAACAGACTATAGGTATCCGTCAAAGCATCCACAACTGACCTTAAATCAAGCTGAAGTCGAACAAAGGTAAAAGGGCCTTGGAAAAGTGGAATAACTATCTTTACCCATAAGAGCCCAGACTACCCATAATAGCCCAGACTGTCCCTAGTCCTAGAGCTCGATGAGAACGGGATCTCCAGGCCAAGTTGAAGTGGCCTTTTCCCTCCCGATCACTGTGAAGGTCAAGGCTATAGAACTCCAGGTAAGGACACCAGCCGTTTGACCTTGAACGCCGCCGGCCGGCCGATGACGTCATTGGAGGCAAGCCGGCTCGGCGGACACATCAGGCGAATGCATAACGGAGGGGCGTTGGAACGTTTCGGGAGCCAGGGAGATATTTTAATGTGGTTGCATACCACCATTGTTATGTTGATTGATCTACAGACTGTATTATAAACCTCGATGCATCCTAGGCCTGGATGGTGTGGTGCGTACATTCGTAGAACGATCACCCCGTCCGACGTCCGTGGTCGAAGCTGTCTATGTATCTAAAGACACTAAGACGAGTGCAATAACGGTGACCCGATCACGTCTCTGACGAATCTAGACGGGGTCCTAAGGACCCAGGCCCAATCTGACCGTCTATTTTTAGGGAAACAGGGCGGGTGGATTGACAACCGATTGGTTTAAGAGATGATGAGAAGGGATCCCGTCGTCGATTGTTGTTTGACAGACAACACATGTTGTACTGGGCGTATAACCATCAGAGGTAGTGCCTGGACGTAGGCAAGCATAATTGGTCTGTCATATTGTTTAGGAATATAAAATCGTAATGGAAATCATTGAGGATATGATCTCTACATTACGGGAATTCACTAATTACTATGACGGCCCATAGGGGCACCGCCGAAGCTGTTGTTTTACCATCAGTCCCAGGCAACTCCAGGGAGCTGCAGTACCCGGCGGCCAAAGCGGCCACCTCGTCGACTCGCAGGTCCTGTGGAATTCCGTGATGCTTCAGTGCTTCACCCACCGAAGCACGGGTATAGCAGTACGATGTGGGGTCAGGTGTCTGTCCGCCTCTAGGTACAACGTATAGGTACAGCGCCTCGTCCCGCCGAAGCTCGGTATCGGCTGACTTATTCACAACTGGCGGATCCATGAAGCGGTCTTGGACACTTCGGGGGATTACCCCAATAAGGTTTCTCCGAATTAATTTAAAAAAAACTCGGATTTCGTTTCCTTGCGCCTGCTGTGCAGTGTGATTAACCAATATTCCCTCAGAAAAGTTGTGAAGTTTTTATTCTCCAAAAGCGATTTCGGACGCTGCCCGGGTTGTGGGGAAGACATTTGCCCCAAATGCCTTCCCCTGGATCCGCCAGTCCCACCCCTTGCTTTACTAAAAACGTCTTCGAGTCAAACCCCACCAGAAACCGATGGTAAGGTGAATTCAAAACCAATTACTCATCTCTGTCTGCCCGCCTAAATTTACTACACATGGTACGGCACCCGGCCCTGTCGGAGCTCTGAGCCGATCGTGACATTTTCGGCTTTCCCCATTCCAAGCTCGATTAGACACGTTCTCCCTCCCCACCCGATTGCTGATGTCAATTCAAATTCAATACCTCATCTCTGTCTTCCCGCCCATAACCCATTCATTGCACACCGTTCAGCGCCCGGCCCCGCCAGAAGTATCCTACCGCGCTGAGCCGTTGCCTCCAGCCGCGTCATCGCGAGGCCCCGCGCGGCCCAAAAATGAATACATTGCGCGAATAGCCGTGTCGCCCCCCTGGTGAAGGTAAGGTAAGGTAAGGAATCTTGGAACAATGCTCGGGGTTACATGAGCAGAGCTAATACGCATTACAAACGGACTACAATGGTGAGCGAATAGGAAAATCCGTTCCTGATACGCATTTACTTGCTCATGTATCCCCGGTAAATGACTATTGCAGATTGAGACGAATGTTGGACGAATGGCTGTCCGAAAATTTAACGAACCTTGATCAAATCGCCCCAGGCGCCCTGTTTTCACCGTCTTGGTCCCTGGCTGCCAAGGGATGAATGATATATGGCCTTGGATGAATGCCTGAATGGCCTGCAGGTTGTTGTCAGGGGGCGTCGAAGTCTAGTTCCTACCAACCTGGCACTCCCATGCCTACGTCACCACGAGGACGCCCGAGGGCATTTACGTGTTGAAGATAGGGAAATTGCCGTAGTTTAGAGCCGCCTGAAGGGCAACCTTGAGATAAATGATAATGAAAATGTGCGCTTATATGATCATCAACATGTTATTTATCCAAATCCAGGGCCAATTAATGGATAACTTGTCACGTTTTCCAGTGATGATGCGCTAACTTTCGTGGTTCTTGCAGCCAATAAGGGTGTTTCATAGTGCGATTCAGCCGCATTATCGACTTTAATGCCATAAACCGCCACGGAACATACGATTTGCAGCTTCCTGGCGTGATAGCTGCCAGTAGGGCTCCGGAGTCCGAGTCATGAAGTCGGTCGGAATTGCCAGTTCTGACCTGAGTCGTCGAGTCAGAGTCAGAGTCGATTTTAAAAGCTGGAATCTGAGTCAGTCACCGAAATTCGATCCCCTCCGCAGACCTTTCAGGGTTCCGTAGTCGGAGTTGTAGTCGGTCGGAGTCGATAGTTCTGACCTGAGTCGTCGAGTCAGAGTCAGTGTCGATTTTAAAAGCTGGAGTCTGAGTCAGTCACCGAAATTCGATCCCCTCCGCAGACCTTTCAGGGTTCCGTAGTCGGAGTTGTAGTCGATCGGAGTCGACAGTTCTGACCAGAGTCAGAGTCAGAGTCGATTCTGAAAGCCAGAGTCGGAGTCTGAGTCACCAAAAATCCATTGCCTCCGCAGACCTGCTAGGGCTGTGAAGTGTGGAATCGGAGTCGGTCAGAGCCGATATTTGAAATCAAAGTCAGTTGATTTTTGAAAGTCTGAGCCAGAGTCGGAGTCATCAAGAAACCCATTGACGATCCGCAGCACCATGCAGTAAGGGCGCTGCCGATCGATGCCCTGAATTGCCTATGAATTGAATGAATAGAGGACAATAAATTAGGTAGGACCTTCTACTATTCATCCCCTGCCACTTGGAGGACTTACTTTCAGTAGAAAAAGACGCATTATTGTTTGTTTGTTTATTTATTGACAAATATTTTTGAGCAGTTTATAGGGATACAGACACAAAACACAATGATAGCACCTCGCTGTTGCAAATCATTGCTAGATAGATGTTGAAATGTGTTGCAATTGAAGAATCTACTGATTTTCCCGGCGGCTCTGATTTTTAAGTAACTACTGGTCTTGTAAGATCTCTTGATTGCTCACCGTCTGGCGTCTTCCAGGGTTTTCTGAAAGTTTGAATCAAACGTTACCATGGCTGCTCTTGATTGCATGGCGCTTGCTGGTTCTGGGTTCTTTATTGGTGGTTCTTGCGTCTGATCCTGTTGCTTCATGTTCCATCACATCACATTACATTTCTGATCTAATGGAACAGACACTTTTACCTTTTATTTCACTATCAGTCGACTTGCATTTACCCCTGTGGCCTGCTCGCCCTTTTATTTCCACGCTAGAATCTACCAATTATTAAAGGGACCCTCCCACCTTAACATTAGATTTGAGTTGAGATAGCCAAAATGGGGTCCCTGGCTCACAATTACCGGTTTCGGCACTCACAACATCGAGAAATGCCTTAAATCAGAAATATTGAATTTCAAAATTGCAGCATTTTGATTCAGAGGGGCTAATGCTTAGGAATACCCCTCTGAATGTGTGACGTCAGCGCAAATATCTAACGATTTTTAAATGTTTGACTAAAACGTTTTGTAGCACGCGGTGGTATATGCTATTTGCGCGCAACATCTGCCGCAAACGCCGCACTTCTAAAATAAAGTCGCTAGAATTTAGAAACAGCGGAGATCCCAAAAAAGTAAACAAAAGTAAAAATCTAATATCTTGAAAACCGGTGAATATTTTTCGGTGAAATTTGGTAGATATTCGTTTTCGCTCTTTCTGAACCGAGCGACATCACTTTCATGCCAATTCATAAACTTTTTTGAAGGTGGGAGGGTCCCTTTAAACAAGCCTCGGATAAAAAGCAAGAAAAGTATGTCAAGTTAAATAAGTAAGACGGTCCTAGAACACCAGAAAAAAATTCAAAAAGCCTGCCCATCTCACTTCGCTCACTTCATAACAAAAACCACAAAAACCACGCAGCAAAACATGCAACATGAAAGAGTCCTTAGCAACGCCCTAGCAACGCATTTGTCTGAAGTGCGCAATATGTGTCACATCTGGAAAATGTAGTAGCTACTTGATTATTCAACTAGAGCTGGACTATATGAGCTAGGCTTTTATATAAAAAATAAGTATTTGCTTATTGAATTTATAGCAACTGGTCGCTTAGCTTCGAAATAATGATTTATTACAGAAAAAGCTTGTTTGCGACATATTTGTAAAGAAACAGCGGAAATAGCTTTGACTCGTGCGCTATTCTAGTACATTTTTGGTAGAAAACTTCGTCCAACCTTATGTTTTAGGGCCTTGGGTTGTTGTTGTTGTTGGGTTAGGGATGGGTTAGGAAAGAACAAGAAGGCTTACCCCGCGTTCGATGTCTCCCGGACGGCAAAGATTCTACGCCGTCCGGCCAATCACGTTCCATAACCGCAGCCGAGCCCCCACTGACCTTGGACGCAATTGGCCGGACGACGGTAGAATCTTCGTCGTCCGAGAGACATCGAACGCGGGTTTAGAGTTCAGTGGAGCAAGACGATGTATTTTGAATCACATGCGCAAGTAATGTCATCTGTATTCTGCATGTACTCTGCATAAATATATTTCAATACAAGAGTCTAAATTTAAAATGAAGCAAATGCTTCAATTAGTTAAAGAAGTAAATTGGTGGAAGTCATAATGCTGCTCAAGATTTGTGAAAAAATATTTTCCCGCGAAGGAATTGATCGCAAGATATCCTCACTACATCACTAATAATTGTTTTCTTCCTCTTACGCGGCATCTGCTACGCCATTTTGTGGTAGTTCAGGGGGAAGATTCGTAGTGCGATAACCAGGTGACCGGATAACGAGGTGGGAGTGTCGTCACATACCTTGCTAGTGGAGAAGATAAGGTTGGTGGGAAAAGGTTAGTCATTTCCATGTTTAAGGGCATAGGGGAGAACCGTGTAGAACGCCCAGGGGTGACGGCACGTGATCGCCTGGGGCGGTGAGGGGTAAACATATTTTTGTCATTTAATGCTCAATGCAATCTCTGTGACTTTACAAGACCTAGTCTTTATTTCTTGCCTTTAACTATTGAATGATGACTCCAGGATCAGTTGGGGAAACTACGAGGCAAAGATCTAAAAATGGATCGGTCAATAAATATAGTTTTGATGACTGTATATGGGCATAAATGCAGCCCTCGCTACTATGGGTGAAAAATGGTAGGTACATATAACCTGCCGGTACCTGCGGTATTGTATCCACTTATCGGGGAGAAAAGGCTTCTATTTTCCACTAGGAATTCAGTCGGGCAAACCAAACTGCAGGGAGACAATCTAAAGATAAAATAAGAGCTGTCATCTGACGAGCTGAGTCAAATGGTATGAACATCTCAATTTCAAAAAAATTTGACACTTAGGATGTTCTTACTTGGAATTGTCGATATGCTTACTTGTAGAAAATATAGTTACTGTGGTAGGTGTGATAGATATCCGTTGCTATCCGTGTGCTGGTTATCCCTCACACTTTAAGGGGTGCGGGTGTGATAGTACCCCTCGTTTTTCCAAGATTATCTCTCGCTCAAAGAGGCCGATCGTGACGAAACTTTGAGTGTCATCAAACTTATCTATGTCCGTAGGTAGTTACCCCATTCGCCGCCAGGGGTGACCGGACCCGCAAGCAGGGGTATTAGTATACGTGAGGTCCGAGTGGCGAACCGATTATGATAAGCACACTATACGATGTATTTTGACCTCCTGATTTCATATCTGATAGTTATTTATTCTGGAAACAAGTATCAAAGCAACTATGGAATACTTACAATTACCGCAAGCCGCTACCGCACTCCACGCTAGCGCAATGTGCCGGACGGCACATATTTCTCGCGGCGAAGCAGCGCAGTGCCGAAGGCAATGCCTTAGGAGAGATTACAGGCAAGAGTAAATCAAATATTTTTAGGTTAAGTGGTTATGTATCTGGCTTCAGGCCGAAGGCCTGAAGCCTGATGCATGACCACTTAACCTAAAAATATTTGATTTACTCTTCGGCCTGAAGCCAGATACATAACCACTTAACCTAAAAATATTTGATTTACTCTTGCCTGCAATCTATTCCTGCAAGTAACTTTTTCCTTATCTCCGGTAGGCAAACATCAGTAGGTTAGGTTAGGTTAGGTTAGGTTAGGTTAGGTTACTATGGACGTCAAACCCCTTGAGACCCCACTTTTTTGCGATAATTTTTAAATGCGTCATCTCTCTTTGACAATATTCAGGCAATGTGTGTTTCAGAACCTGCCGAAACTTTTATTACTAAGGTATTTTGACGCGAAACGATTATGAAAGGTACTTCTCATTCACTCGTAATGCTAAGGTCAATTCAGGCCCGGGCAGAGGCTTGCGCTCGGCCACACTCGAGCCCCGCCACCAGCGCCATCTGCTCTAAATGTCATCTACCAGCGCCCGCTACCGCTACCAGCTACCGCCCACCATCAAGCCTGAATGGAGCGAGAGACGCGAGTGACCGGTCGCCGGGCAAGGAGCGCCGGAGGGGTAGGGCGGAGCTTAGCGCTGACGTCATTACGTGGCTCCGCCCCATGAGCGCGTAGCCTCTACCCAAACAGCAGATTCGTCCCGTGAAATTTAACATTACGAGTGAATGAGAAGTACCTTTCATAATCGTTTGGCGTCAAAATACCTTAGTAATAAAAGTTTCGGCAGGTTCTGAAACACACATTGCCAGAATATTGTCACCGAGAGATGACGCATTTAAAAATTATCGCAAAAAAGTGGGGTCTCAAGGGGTTTGACGTCCATAGTAGGTTAGGTTAGGTTAGGTTAGGTTAGGTTAGGTTAGGTTAGGTTAGGTTAGGTTCTTGTTTTTTAATTATTACGTCACTTTCATAACACCATTTGTATCGTTTTCTTTTTCCCCACTCAAAAACCCCGGTTCCCAAAATTTCCCCCGAAATGGCAGCAATCCAAATATGGCAGCGCTAGAAACGCCCACGTTTTTCATTCGTCGCGTGTTAATGCCGCCGGGTGGTATTGTAGTGAAATGGGTTGGTGATTTGGTGTTTTTTCCACGTTTCCAGTACATGTAAGTATCATTTTTGGATTCAGGATGTCAAAGAATGTAAGAATGTGAAAACTTTATCTTTTAACAGGCACTCGGACCTTATGTATACTTTTACCCAAGCAGGATCTGTAATGGGTGTACTCACCTGGTATACTCACCTGGTTGGGTTCCCAGTGTCATTTAGGAAGTCAGGAAGGAAGTGAGAAGTGGGTATGAGGAACAGGAACCCTGAATCCTAGACGCACCAGCCAAAGTTGAGTTCTTGTCTGGGGAAGATTATGAAGTACGAAGGCTGGAGTTGAGCGTCTTCCAAGGTGACACGCATGAATACAAGGCACTAACAAAGTAACGAACATGAGTACGGTACGGTAAACAGCAACACAATCATGAAAAGACAAACGATAAGAGAGGGTGTAAGGCATTGGGTATATGTCAAGTGTAGATCCTAACTACAATTGTGGCGCTGTTGATACAAATATGTAGCGGCAAATATTTTAGGTTTTAGGTTAGGTTAAGTTGTAGGTTTGTAGGTTTCAGTCGGGGAAACTGGTAAAATCTGCCATTTTTAGCAGTCTGCTATTTTTAGCAGAAATCTGCCAAAAATGGGTACGGACCTGCTAAAAATGGGTACGCATGTGACGTCATCGTACCCAAATGTAGCAGATTTGGGTACGGACCCATACAAAAACATATTCGCGCACTACTTGAAGCAAATGCGCATCAAATGCCTGGCAGATTCATGATGAGAATAGTGCGGAGAGTGTCCTCTTCTATTTTCTTTCAGATCCGACTATTTTTTAATAAGAGTGCTGTTCACGGACACCTGCGGTAGCTGCGGTAGATCGCAGGCTGTAAGTCCCGCCCACTTGTGCGCACGTCATCACGCGTTCGTCTGAGGCGGCCATGTCAATTTTCCGCCCAAGTTACACGAATGCGCAACTGCCGCGCCACTTTGCATGACAAATGGCTCCTGCGGCCGCTGCGGTCGAATCGTTTCGATCGCAGGAGACGCAGGCGACCGCAGCCGGCCGCAGCCGTATGACGTCACACCACCCGCCCCATCCCCACTTTCTGTGACGTCATTACCCGGCTGACCGCCGAGCCGCAGCTACCGCAGGTGCCCGTGAACAGCACTAAGATTTTACCATTGGAAGATGAATGCACTGAAATTTCCTAGAAATTGGTCATTGTTTTAGGTATTTTATGTTTCTTCTATTAAGAATACACAGAAAATAATGTTGAAAACAAAATCTAGCAAAAAAAAAAAAATACAAAAGGTTGAGATTCATTACTAAAACAGGCCATCACTATATCAAACACAATTTGGCATGATTGGTTGACACACATGTTATCAAGGTCATCCCATTGAAGGGGTAAATAGCTATGTAGGCATATTTTAAGAGTTAATTTAGCTGTTTATGTGGTTTGTTAAGATGACCCTGGCCACAGTGTTTCTTATAATGGTAAATTTGGCACATAGCATTGCCTGGTTTTGTTCAAACAGCAGCTTATACCCTGCTGGGTCTTAGCACGACTTTTCAACATTAATGGTTAGGATGTCATTTTAGTGGTTTAATAATCCATTTTGGTTAAAAATGGTACCTCCATCTTATTCTCCAGACTTAAAAGTGTATGTAATGACCAGCTTTTTTGAATCAAGACAATTCTTTTTTGGGAAACGAGTAGAAGTTTGGCACAGCCTAGCAGTCAAACACGTCGGGCTGCAGGCTGGTGGTCAGTTATTTACTATTTTTTTCACATGTTTTGTTCCTCAAGATGACTATTATTTTCAAAAATCAACATCAAATTGCCAAACCTTAAAAAACATTGGTGTGGGTGTGTGTTTATTTGTTGATCATTATCATTGCATACTGGGCGGTGTTTCACGGGACGCTGCTACCATGCTGCTATCAAATTGCGCGAGCTGACGTCACACTTGTGGTAGTGTTGGAGCAATGGGCCTGTTGATGTTTCCATGGAAACCCAATTTGACACGTGTAAAAGCAGCGTGCTGCTATCACCGGTGAAACAGGGCCCTGATTGCGTGACCAGATGAATATTGAATGTTGCATGGTGTGAGTCTACCACAGATCTTACGAGGGCCATATGGGTAATGGGGCTTCACGATTTAACCCGCGAGTTGCTGGGGACTTCATATGATTCAACTCGCAATCAACCAATAAACGTTTTGGCTATCTCGGATTTTCGAATTTTGAAAATTTTGATCACGTGACATCTTGACCTTTTCTTCTAAGAGTGACCTTGATATTTTCCCAACTGAAAGTTGCAATTTTGTCTGATGACGATTAAAGCCTTATCAATTGTCATTCATATGCGATAATAAAAAAGTGGCTTTCGGCCTGCGTTGACCTCAGGTCAGGTCATTTTTATGACCTTCCCATTATTACGAGCGGGAGCGACAGCGAGATCTCGAGAACAAAGCAAGATAGCGACAAGCGGTAAACGGCACAGGGTACACATGGATAAGGTCTACAATTTTTATCCGGGTCATTTTCAGGTCAGGTCAAAGATGACGTCACAGGGGTAAAAAGAAAGTCTAAATGGCGGCACCACATATATATGAAGCTTTTCTCGAATAACTTTTGAAGTATCCCAGCTAGGAACAAGCTAATAGCACCATCGCGATCCTCTCGTCGATCCGCATCGAAACATGTGTATGTTTACCTCGAAAGGTCAAGGTCAAAAGTTGACCTTAGGTCACGTGACCTTAAGGTCATCATATATATTATTCGATGGGCCTTGACGAGCTGAACACAATGAGCCTATCCGCGCGGCTGTATCTCAAACCTGTAAGGAGTTATTAGCAAAAAACATTTGGTGACCTTT